ATTCATTGACAGCTCAACAAGAAGTCTAAAGGTAGTTTTGCTCCATAACGGAAACCGATTTCCTTCGATTCCAGTAGCTCATTCCGTTCATCTAAAGGAAGACTATAAGAACGTGAAGTTGTTGCTTGAGAAAATCAACTACGACAGTTACAAGTGGGATGTATGTGGAGACTTTAAGATGCTAGTATTTCTTCTCGGTCTGCAAGGAGGATGCACAAAGTACTCGTGTTTTCTTTGTTTATGGGATAGCAGGGCTGCAAACCAGCACTTCACAAGACGTGAGTGGCCAGTGAGAGAACATTTACAGCCTGGTTCGCACAATGTTATTAATCAATCTCTGATACCTGTTGAAAAGATCTTACTACCACCCCTTCACATTAAACTTGGTCTTATCAAACAATTTGTCAAAGCATTAAACCCAGATAGTGCAGCATTCCAGCATATTCGGCAGATGTTTCCAAAGGTGTCAGATGCAAAAATTTCAGCAGGTATATTCGTTGGTCCACAGATTAAAGTTATGTTGGCATGTAAGGAGCTTGAGGACAAAATGTCTGCTGTTGAAAAAGAAGCATGGACCGCATTTAGACATGTTGTTCATAGCTTTTTAGGCAACAATAAGAGTGATAACTACAAAGAGATAGTGGAAAACTTAATTGTACGGTACGCAGATATGAAATGCAGAATGTCAATAAAGCTGCATTATCTGCATTCACACTTGGAATTTTTCAGACCAAATTTGGGTGATGTGAGTGAAGAGCACGGGGAACGTTTCCATCAGGATATTCTTGCAATGGAGAAAAGATACCAGGGCAGATGGGATGCAGCTATGATGGGTGACTACATCTGGTGTTTGATACGCGATGACGAGAAACTTCATAAAAGAAAACCTCGTTCTACTGTTCACTTTTAGTGTTTTTTGAGATTGTGAGAGACTGTTACAATACAATATAATGTAACATTATGTAATATATGTAAGAAACATGATGTAACATGAAGTTTTGTAACATAACATAACAGCCGTTATGTTATGTTACAAAAGTTTTTACATCTGTAGATGTTAAAACTTTGACAGCCGTTGCAAAAAAAAAATTTTTCTTTTTTAAATGTTATATATATATATATTTTGTTTTATTTGTTTTATATTTTTATTTTATTTTTTTCGAAACGATCAAACTTGTTTTTAAAGATGTTCACATTTTTAGAATTAATTATCTCCTCTGTTAAATTATTCCAATCGTTAACTATTCTGTTTGTAAGGAAGTTAAATCTTGTGGTAGAATGTGTGAATTGTTTTTGTATTTTCTGAGTATGACCTCTTGTTATTGCATATTTAATTTTTTTAGGAGGATGATTCCATTTAATTTTATCCACATTTTTACTTATTTTATAAAATTGAACCAAATCGCCACTTTCTCTTCTTGTTTTTAAACTAGTCAAGTTAAATTTTTTTCTGATCCTTGTGGTACTCCACTTATTACTTTTTTCCACTCCGAGGTTATCTCACCGTGAACCACTCTTTGTGTTCGTCTGCTTAGAAAACTTTTAAACCAACATAATAATTGTTCTTGGATCCCATAGGATTGTAGTTTTAATAATAGTCTCTTATGTGCAACTGAGTCAAAGGCTTTGGCAAAGTCTAAAAAAGCTATATCTACTGATGTATTTTGCTCAAGTGCCTGAGTTATTATGTCAAATATTTCAAGTAAATTTGTGCAACAACTTTTGGATGATACAAAACCATGATGAGAGTCAGAGAGTATACTGTTTTTAGTCAGATGATTCATTAGTGTGTCTCTTATTATGCTTTCCATCACTTTGCACACTAATGATGTTAGTGATACCGGCCTATAAATTTTTACTTTTAATTTATCTACTTTTTTAAACAGAAGGGTAATATTTGCACATAAACATGGAACAATGCCACTCGAAAATGAGCAATCAAAAATAATTGATAGTGGTTTTGAAATACTTTTGCAACATTCTTTTAAAACTCTAGGGTGTATTGTGTCTACTCCAGTTGATTTATAAACATTCAGAGTTGCAAGCTTCTTACTAACTGTTTCAATATCGAATGTAGGATTTGGGCATAAAACATCGCACTGTTTTGGAAACTCTGGGAGGTTTTTATCTTCAATAATAAAAACTGAGCTGAAAAAATTGTTTAGTTCGTTAGCAATCTCAGAAAGGTTGGTCGTAACTATTCCATTGTTATTCTCGATAGCTCGAATATAATCTTTAGTTTGAGTTTATTATTCAGATATTTTGGTAAACTATTTTGGGAACTATTTTGGATCTTAGCATTTTTCGCTATTCTGTGCTCATATTTAACAATTTAAGTCAATAAATTTCATAAAAAACATGTTTTTTTTTCACTCAAAACTATAATGTTCTCCACTTAATAAGTAAGTGTAAACAAAACAATTTTATGCTTGTAGTAGCTCTCTTTCTTCTATTTTCTTGATGTATTCTATTACCTAAATGTCTTTGCAACATTTAAATCAATTCCAGCCCCGAGCAAAGCCCTCACTTAAAAGTAGCATTCAAGAACTTGAGATTTCTTAAGTCTGGAAATTAAACCCAAAGTTAGGACTTCATAATATATCGCAAATATTTTATATCAAATTATATAACATAAAATCTTGAATGGCATATTACATTTTAAATAGATTTTAAAAGATTGCTTGTAAATGATTTTTAGAGTGTTTTCTTTAGGGATCGTCCATAAAATACGCAACGTTAAATTTCACTAATAAACAAAAAAGATCAAAAGTTTTTCCTCGCCGAACCTTATGTTGGATAAAAAAAATGAAAATAGCTCATTAAGTTTCATGAAAATCGCCGCGTAAAAGAGCTTAAAATTTTCTAGTTTGTTTTTTGAAATAAATTTAGTTTTGCGTAATTTTTGGACGATCCCTAAACAGTCTTATCATTTATCTTGCAGACCAGATATTTTACGGAAATAACCTGATTATTTAAACTAATAACCGACAGACGGCAACTTCTTGAAAAGCCCCTTAACTACAATGAGTAAGAATGCAGCCATAGAATAGTCAATAAAAGAACTTGTAATTTTTGAAAAACAAATTTACCTTGGCAGGCTTTATTGACTTAGTAAAAACAGTTTACGCAGCAAGTAAGTCCATTCTCTTAAATAAACTATAGATAGTGCATATAAATAAATATGGATAAACTTTTTTTTGGCAGTAAATTTAATGTAATTTAATTCGTAAATCTTTTTTTTTTTTTTAACGTTTTAAAGTTTTATTTACTAAAGTTTGTTTTAGAAATTATTCTTTTATTTTCACGTGTAAACAAAACTTTGGTTGAAAAAAAAATTTTCTCTGAAATTTAGAGTTTCTTTTTAGAGGATTAGGTCTTTTAACTACTTTTAATGAAATATTAATTCTTTTAACTATTTTTAATGATTTATAAAGGATATATAACTACAATGCTTAATAAATTTTATTTAATTTTTTTTTAAATGACACAAATTTTATAAAAAAAGTGCTTTCGCATATTTTTATAGAAATTTGTGTCATTAACGTTATTGATGACGTTGTTTTGTGAAATGCCACCTATTTACCCCGTAAAACATTCCAAACATTAAATTATGGTTTTGCCCCCGTATTGTAAATTCAAAATTATCATTTAGTTTACTACTAAAAGTTTAATCTACTCATATATTATAAAACTCATATACTATAAAAAGTTTAATCTACTACTTGTGATAAGAGAGCAAACGAATTATCTAATGACCAATTAGCGTTACTGTACAGATTGGAAACCTTCCAAATGACTTTCGTCATTCCTTCAACCATTGTTAAGTTCGTTGACATTTTCAACTAATTATTTTATTACTAATTATACTTAAATTATTAAGGTGGGTAGTTCATTCTTGTTGAAAAACATGATAATCCGTACGGAAATCCTTTTATTGCCCTTTGAATCCATTTTTATTTTATCAGTTTTTGTTGTCAGTTGATTCCATAGAATGTCAAAAAAATAATTAAGAAGAAATGAAGATTTATTGTTCACGCTACATTTCTTATTTGTCTAAACTTTACAGTTTAAAATAAATTTCGAAAAAAGCAATTTTTTTAATAAACTTTTTAGAACTATCTTTGTGTGATTAGAAGATTTAGAAATCTCCAAATAATAAATATTCAATAAAACTTCACGTATAAATATTTATAAATAAAATCATTCAAGTTTATTTTGTTAATAATACTATTAGCAGTTAAAAATTTAAAAGAACCAGGTTACAGATGGTGTATACGTTTAGTAGTCACTAGATCGCAGTTGTTGTGCCACAACCTTTAATTTCATTTTTTTTTAAATGGTACGTTTTACATCAAAGAACTAAACCCGACGGGCATTTGTTTTTAAAAGTCACGTTCTAAATGTATTTTAAATGTCTTTTAAACGTTTTTTGCGTAAGAACGTTTAGAAGACGTTTAAAAGACATTTAAAATACATTTAGAACGTAACTTTTAAAAACAAATGCCCGTCGGGAAGAGTTTACTATTGTAGTTTTGAACAGAACATCAAACTAAATAGAACATCCAATTAAGTCAAAAAGCTGTAAATAGTACAATCTGTCAAAGAAAATCTTTTCAATTAGTCAAAGAACATCTTATCAATCAGTTTTTAATTAACTTAAGGTACTTATCTTAATATTAGGTTCGTTATCAATGAAAGATATATAAATAACAGCTAATGTCTTTTATTATAATGATTATTTTTACCTAATTTATATAATTTTAAAGCAAAATTAAAAGCAAGAAATTATTATTCTTAGTTTGTTCTATAAAATATTTTAAAAATAAATTTTTATAAAGTAAAATGCCACAATATGTTTGTGCATTTACAAACTTTTTTTGCGTTTTAAAAGATCGATTAAAGGAATTTGATAACTTGTTTAAATACAAAAAAACTATTTGACAACATTATTTAAGGTACGTTTGGTCATTAATCAAACGTTCATTTATTTTACATTAAAAATAGTTTAGCAGAATAAAAAAAGTGTGCTCACAAATTTAATAAAAAATAAAACATGTAAAAAAAATTGCAAAAAAGTTTAAAATATGTTTTATACGTCATTTTAAACATATATTAGATAATAAAATGACATCATTTTAGCATAGTATCCAATGACTTAAATAAATTCAATGAAAAATAGCCGTGTTTCTCTCTCCTTGCTTGAATACAGAATACGGTTGCCTCTTTGTATTTTACCATTGTCTTTTATTCCCAAGTACCAGTCTTTAAATTTAGACTTATAGCATACAATATTGCTTGTTATGAATTTTTCCTCAAACACACAGTTGTCATGGTCACCGTTTTCCTACAATATATATATATTAAAAAATCGTCGTTAAATCTATAATGTGTTTAACAATACAAAATATTAAAGATGCATAAAAACAGATTTAAAAAACGAAAGATAAATTACCTGAACAATTAACTTTGATTTTTCATTGAAGCATATGTAGCGATTTGCTTTGCATCCTTTGATGCGAATTAGATCGTGTCCAATAGTTTCTATTGTAATGTTAGCTATTATAATGAATTAATATATAAAGTTAATATATTGTATATAAGTAATATAAAAAGTTAATACAATCACAAAATCTCTGATTCAATTAGAAATAATTTACAATTAAAAACTTACTGTTCTGCAAAGGTATATTACTCACTCGAACCTTATTTTTAGAAATCTGAAGAAACTTATTTCCGTTAAACGAGCGCAGCCTTACAGATTTTTCGGAGACAATTTTATTATCGACACAGTTGAAGTTGTCCAAGTTTGTCTGCAAAATCAAGAAAAATGAAAAAATCTGCAAAAGGAGTTTTTTCGAATTTTTCTACTTTTAAAAAATTTTTTGTTAAAAGAAATCTAATTACGTTGTTATGTCTAGATTTTTATCGTTTCGGGATGATAACGGAAAGTAATGGTCGAATTGTCGAAAACGAAAATATAGCTCAAGTCTATTCACGGATTTAAATGTTAAAAAAAAAAAAATTTATTTTATATAATAAAATTTTATAAATGAATTTAGAATCAAATTATTACTTAAATTGTGTAAATATACTAATAAATGTGTAAATATGTCAATATTTATTGTTTTGTAATTTTTGTATTCATTTATATGATAAAGTCAAATAAATATATCTAAGTAAGCAAACATATACAGTATTAACTGTTTTATTAATGGTGTTATGTAAAAAATTATTATTTTTAATTAACAATAAAAATTTATATTAATTAAATTTTTTTGTACCAAATTTACAAACATTATGAAACATGTTGATACTCAATCTCTTTACTAAACCGAGTCACAACAATTAATAATCACATCCACCTACCCAATATGTTTTTTCCCAATGTTCTTTGATTAAATCTCCATAATCGATTTTATTTTTTCTAAAAAAATTATACTTAGATTTTTTTTTTTTTATTGGTTAGCTACATTTTAAAATTGAATTGTTCATGCTTACTCTGAATAAGTGTTGACAATATAAAACCCAACAAAGCTGATGAAAATTTCTTTAACGTCCATTTTAATGAAATTACATTTGACTTGTATGTTTTAATGACTTTTTTAAGTCTATACATGAATTTTTATTGTTAAGCACAAGTCTACTAAATGACGTTATTTGTGATGTACTGTAAACCCCCTAAAAACGAGTTATTATTTTTATCAGCAACAGATTATATATAATTATGCAGATATATAAAAATTAAATTTATTAAAAATTTCTAAAATGCTACGTAAAGTATTAAATATTCTGCAAAATTGAATGCAAAATGACATTTTTTTTTTCTATATTCAAGACTATAATAATTTCTTCATAAAAAAATCACATTATCATTTATTTACATTTAAAAAACGTGAAAATAATAAAAAATAAAATTTATAACCCTATCATATAAGTATAAAATAAAGTTAAAGTTTAATAAACAAACAAAAATTTATTTTTGTAGCACTTTTCAACAAGCTAAATCATACGAGATCAAGACGGGTTTCGTCTGAAATGCAATTAGAAACCGTACAAGATTTAGCAGTGCATTCACATACAACCTTTTAGAAAAAAAAGAGCAACACCATGGATGATAGTTTTTGACACTTTGATCTTGCTGGGATTCTTCCCAAGTGGTTAAAGTTTCACTCTTGCACCTCTTCATCCTTTTGCTGTATAACGGTACAGGAAGTTGCTTGGTTTCTTGAGAAGTACATACATTCATTTGCAACACATCCTAAACCCCTTCATTGTATCTGTTTTCCTATTTATCACTTTTTTCTTCTTTTTCATCATCTCTACAAACAAATAAAGAGAAAAAAAAGAACCAAATTAATTATGAAAATAGTAAGATTTGTTATATCATTTTGTAGATTTTGTAAAAACAATAATAAAAAAAACAGGGGAAGAAAACGTACTTTGAGCTGACGTCAGATCAACTCCTAGAATAGAGCCTTTCCATTCCCTTTTCCGATTGTTTTTAAACAAAACTTGTTGTTTTTTGTGATAACAATCGGAAAAGGGGATGAAAATTTTTAAAACAATTAGAAAAGAGAATGAGGGAAATTTTATTATGACCAAGGCATATTGATATTCTAGTATCGGTAATATCAAAGATATTACTGATACTGAAAATATCTTTTAAGCGAACTTTAATTGAAAGCGAACTTTTTTGTTTTGTTTTTTACAGCTTCTGATAAAATTTGGTACATTGTATTTGCTACAGTTAGTAAACGCCTTCGCTGGTATCCCATAACTGCATTTTTTGTTTGTTTGTATAATACAGATACGACTAACTGAATATATATGATAATATATGATAACTACTATTTTAGTATCAGTAATATCAAAGATATTGCTAATACTAAAAATATCTTTTAGGTAAACTTTAATTGAAGGCGAACTTTTTTGTTTTATTTTTTTCAGCTTCAGATTATCTATTCTTGTCCTTTTGTAAAATTTTCTATTTTATTGATAGCATTTTTTACATATGTTGTAAGAATTCGAGCTCTGAAAAAAGATGTTCTTCTTATATGGAATTTCTTGCTGAATCTTTTATATTTAACTTCAAAATACGTAAGTTGTACCACAAATTGGAATGCATATTGAACTTTTAACGTTATTTTTAGTTTTGGAATAAAATAAAAATGTTTTCACCGGGTTTAACATTAGACTTTAGGGTTCCTAACCTAACAACTGAGCCCATGAATTTTCAAACACTTTTTCTAAACATGCGTGTCAAGGAGCATTGTCTGTTACGACAACCGAATCCTCAAAATAATTCCCGAAAGTAACCATTTGGTGAAACTTAGCAAACATCTATTTGTTACAAGAATCTACTTTAAATAATTCTCTGCGAGTTTCTGTCATGACGACATTTTTTGTTGATATAGCTGCAATCAAATAAATATTTGAACCTTTTTAAGCAGACATTTTCATTATTTGTCTTCTTCCTTGTGTGGAGCGCCCTACAAATGGTTAAGTTTGTCTGATCTAACCAGACAATCTGATGACCATTTGTTCTTTGTTCGTTAATGTTCGTAACATAATCAGCTCTTTTTTCACTACTTTTCATTTTAGAAGGCTTCTTAAGCCCTTAAATAAAAAAAATCTGCCTTCGAGGTATTTAGCTGTTGTTGTTCTGACGCTTTTATTAGATTGTTATAAAATAGACTATAGATTATCATATATATCTAGTTAGTCGTATTTATATTATACAAACAAACAAAAAATGCAGTTATGGGATACCAGCGAAGGCGTTTAAAAATTGTACCAAATAAAATGTACCAAATTTTATCAATGTGTATAAATATCGCATTATCGCTATTACTATTATCAACATCATCATTACAATTTAATGGTTTCTTGATTCATTTTTATTAGCATAAAAGCCTACATGCTTGTATAAATTAGTGGTAAAAATGCAAATTCATATATTATTGTGATTGAGCAAGTTTATTTAAACGTAAGTGGGTACTTTAATATGCTTTCATTATTATAAATAAAAAGATAAACTATTCAAATCTTAAATTTAGCAAATGCAGTTAGACAGGCAAAAAAGATTTAGAAATCAAGAAATATTAAATGTTAGCTCTCATAAAAAATGATTTAGAAATCAAGAAATATTAAATGTTAGCTCTCATAAAAAAAGATTTAGAAATCAAGAAATATTAAATGTTAGCTCTCATAAAAAAAGATTTAGAAATCAAGAAATATTAAATGTTAGCTCAAGCACTCATATAAATGATGGTCGAACTTTAACCTCTAATCTTAAACTTATCGTGTTGTATATGTTCAATATGTATTATATGTGATATATGTACTCTAATGAAATTTATTGAAATATAAATTATTTATTAGTTTATATCGTATTACTAAACTGAAAGTAATGGTTTAAAACAGTCTGAATTCTACTTTTATTACTTCTATTCCTTTTTTAGCTAGATAAACGTCGATTTATTTCTTTCGTTGATTTATTTTAATCTTCCGGCGATTTATTTCATCTAATTCTTCCGGCGATTCAGTCTTCCTCTTAAGTTAAATTCACGAATTTGTTTAAGTATTAGTCATTAATAAAAACAACGTAAAAAACAAACAAAATCAAGAGCAACATAAAAATAAGAAACAACAAAGCAACGGTTGAACGCTGGCCGAAAAACGGCTGCCATGCATGGGCCATGTTAAACGGTGAGTAATATTTGGCTTAGCTCTTGGTTGCTTGTTAATGGTGGGCCGGTCATGACACTAATGATGGACTATGCATGGACCAAGCATGGAGAAATTGCTGGGTTCAATGAAATGTAAACTGTATAGAACCCAGCAAACTCATTTATATCATATACATATGATTTGTTTCCAAATCATTTATATATGAGATCATATATATGAGACCTGTTTCCTGGAATTGACACTCGAACTCACTCTAATTGCAACACCTTCAAGATAACTCAAACTGAATGCAGACTTTAAATTACTCGCCTCCTAAATAATTGTAGATATTTATACTTTTATTCATTGACAAATGTTTTGTTACAAGCCTATCAAAATAAAAAACGTTTATTAATTGTTTTCTTCAACACTATAAGCATAAATACTTCTCTGGACTCTTAACCTTATCCTATAATAGACAACCTACTGAACAAGGTAGCTATATGCAGTGTATTTAGTAAATTAGAACTTAAAAAGGCCTATCACTAAATCCTACACAAAGAGAAAGATTACCACTTACTGCTTTTGAGGCAAATAGAAAATTGTACGATCTTTAAAAAACTCCTATTTGGATACACAAATGCTATAGCAATCTTTTAACGCATCAATAAGCAAAAATATTCTCTTTCATATGAAGCTATTTCAGCTATTAAACAGCTTAAAGACCAACTAACTATAGCATCTTTAGCATCAACAAAATAATCTAAAAAAAGATCTATTGAATTTTTTTCTAGAGCTCAATCAAGAGCAGAATAAGAATCAGTGGTTATTAACAAATGTTATCGTCGGTGGAAGTATCTACTGTTTTCAACTCAAAAATTTGATATTTTATCAGACCGAAAGCTCGTCTCTTTTATTTTTAATCCTGAAATTTCTTAAATAAATAGTGAAAAACTTACAAAATAGCATTTAAAACTATCTGAATGTTGGTTCAATATTTCATACAGATCTAGAACAGAAATTTTTTCTCTAGATGGACAGTCAGGTATGATGTGAGTTCAAATTTATATCCTCTACTAGACCATGAGAAAGACTTTCTATGTATTATATTCTTTTGGTCTCAAATTATCTCTGACACTGTAATAAAATACCTTTTTGAAATCTTTTCTCTTTTCAATACCCCTGCCTGCATTTACTCCAATTGAGGTACACAATTTGAACAAAAATACTAGTGAACTTTTTTATGGGCAATGATGTCAACAAGACTCAAACAAAGTTTTATCAACCACAAGAAAACGGTCAATATTGCAGACCAAAATTTACCAGTTTTGAGCTTGAAAAAATTGAGTGGGAACTGGTACTTCCTACAGTTCTATCCTCTAAATCACTACTATGAACAGCTACAAATTATAGTCTACACAACAAACTAATGGTTTTTAAACGCAGAAACGTTATTAGCATTGATTTACAAAAACCAATATTCATAACTGATACTGTATATAAACTGACAATGTATCAACAATTAATTAAAAATTAATCAAAAATCAATTCAGGGCCGACGATACAGGTTTCGAAGTGGAGGGGCACAATTATTAATTTTTCAAAAAAGTCCTCATATTTAGAATTTTCTAAAAAAAAAAAGATTCTATTGAAAAAAAATGGGGGCCACGTGCCCTCCTGACCCCCGAGGTCGTTGGCCCTGCAATTTAAATTAATAATTACCACATTCAGAATTGACACTGTATCAACGCAACACTTAACTCTACAACTGTCATTTCCCATCTGTTAATAATGATTTACCTTCTCATAATAAAAAACTACATGTAGCGAAAATGTACTATCCATAACTCAAAACCCTAGAGGTAATACTCAGAACTTATGTCTTAGTTTTATTACTATTTAAATCTAAGCCTAATTTGCAAAAAAATTTAACAAAAGAAGTCTTAATATAAATAACCAAAAAAAAAGTAGTTAGGGTGGCAAATTATTAAGTTATCTTATAATTTATCTTATATATATTAATATATATATATATATATATATATATATATATATATATATATATATATATATATATATATATATATATATATATATATATATATATATATATATATATATATATATATATATATATATGTATATATATTTGTGTGTGTGTTTCTTTTCTTTGTTGTTTTCTTTTGCATAGTTGAATTCAATTATATACGCGCAACTTTCAATAAACAAAATAATTTTTTTTTTTTCTTTTTACTTTTTAAATATATAACTTTTTCATTATTGCATTTATTTTATATCCATTAGTTTAAACATTTTTCAAATAAACTTTTCAGTAACAATTCATTTCGATTGAGTTTCAGTTTTAAACATAGACTTTTTATTATCGAGTTAATCGCCATAGCATTCCTCAAAACATTTAATAAAAGTGTTTAAATATACATTATATCCATTAATGTTAAGCACCTATCAAAAACTTCAAATACTTTGGAAAAAATAAGGATATAATTTGTTTAGTTTGAAATGTTGTCCACATTTCCTTTTTCAACTTGATTTTTTGCTTTATTCGTTTGTTGGTGGGCTCTTACTACTTTCAGCTGCGGATTGTTTCTTATGTTTTATTTTGATTTTTGTTTTTTAGCTGGTATCACATATAAGTCCTTGCAACAAACTCCATAGTTTTTGGAGGGGAATCGAATTTTTTTTCTTCCCATAAATAGCCTGGTCTAAGATTTCCATTTTTCTTAATTGCAATATACCATTTTTTTGTTACTGCCTTAAAGTATGTTCTAGAAGATTTTTCACTATGCAATTCCTCAAATACACAGTCCATGTTGTTGCCATTTTTCTAAAACAAATATAACAACATCTAAACAATTTTGTAACCAAAAAATAAATAAAACATAACCTCATGCCATTGAAAAATCAATAAGAGTATACTTTTGACAGAAATTTACTTTTTAATATAGCTAAATGATTATAAATGTAAAAAAACCGATTCCAAACTAACTCCAAATACATTATATAAAGGCAAAGGGTTAGGGTAAATTTTGTTTTATGACAGAAAAAGATAACTTTCTTGCAAGATGTAAGCTTAATAATAATAAACCCACCAATAAGGTTGCGTGAAGTCTACTACTCCTTCAAAATAAAAAGGCGACGCATTATACATGGTCAAGAGTTTCACATGAATGGAAATTTAAATAATATTTAAAATTGTTTGCTAAACCAACTATTCTCTGTAAAAAAGTGTGAATTAGTTAATAAAAATGAAAAATGGAAAGAAAAAAAAAGACGAAAAGATTTTGAAAGTATTTTAATAAATATTTATAATAAATAGTTGAAAAAAATAAACATAAAATTTTAAAAGTAAAAGAAAAATCATTATATTAGCTTTAATTACAACTATCATAAATAGAAGGGCCGACGACACCGGGGATACCATAAATAGAAGGTATTATAATTTAAACCAAGTAAACTAGATAAAAATTATCTAAACAACAAATTGATACCTGAGCAATAAGTGTTTTACTTGTAAAATTAAAACAAATGTAACGGTTAGCTTTAACTCCTCTGATTCGAACCAAATTGTAGCTAACGGTTTCAATGCTCAGATTGGCTAATAAAGAAAAATTTTAAACTTTTTAACAATGTGATTTAGTTTTATACGCAATTTATTAAGGATGAAACTTTAGTATTAGTTAAAAACAAGTATTTGACAGAATAACAAACTAATAAAATAATAACCAAAGCGTTTTAAAATCCTAATCCATTAGCTCATTAAAACGCGGGTGCAATCCTTATTAAAATGATAATTTGCACTAGTGGATAGACGCTTGTTTCTCTGCGCAGCAAAAACTTTTTTTAAATAATAATTACATTTAAAAATGTAGGGTTATGCACACTATTAAAAAATAAAATTTTTACTTCAATGAATACTCTACCAATTAGCATACAATCTAACAAAAAAGCAAGACCTAACTGGAAACTTTAAAATGAAAAATACAGAAGAGGAAGACATTGCTGGAAACTTTTAAATGATATATACAAAACTCTGGTACGAAAACTCATGGCTCAAAATTTAGAAATGGAACCAGATGAAATCAAATATCCAGCTGCCATAAGTTATGGCAGCTTATAGCATAAGCTTGAGAAGAAAGCGCGCAAACATTTTATTATAAAAGCATAATATATTCATTGATCTAAAAGAAAAATGTTTGTAATGTTTTGTAAAATCAAGTAGTTACGTTTCGTGCAAATAAAACATCATTTTGGTCTCTTTGCACAATATCTGCACAATATTCAAAGATTTTCAGAGTTACACCATAATAGTTGATAAAATATTGTGAGGATGTAAATATTATTAAAAACTATTACGCTAATAGATGGTTCAGATATTGATTCGAAGCATTTATGTAATGAATTTCAAATATTTTTCAACATTGTTCCAAATAGTGTTTTGTCTTCTATTGATGTTTACGTTTACTTATAATCATAGTTTGCGTATTGCTAAATGTTGGTATAACCCTTCTATAGTTATGACGATTACAATCACCGCTGCTTCGGGTGAAAAACGTTTTTCCAAGTTAAAATTAATCAAATTCTTTATGAGAATGACTATGACGCAAGAACGCCTAAACAGCCTGGCAATGATATCTATCAAACAAAATATCGTGCAGCTTTTGGATTATTCAAAATTAGTTCAAGACTTTGCTGCCATCAATGCAGGAAAAGCTCATTTTATTGAACGTTAGAAATCCACATGAATTTGAAAATTGTCTGTGTGAAAAACTCGATTTGCGCAAAATCTTGAACATGCAATGTTCTAAGACATACAATGAAATTATTAGTATTAATTATCATAATTAGTATTAAGAATCATAGTTAAAATAATACTTTTTTTGTTTAATTTCTAGAATTTTAATTGTAGGCTATCCGACTCACCCAACGATATTTTAAAAATCACCAGAGATTTAACCGCCGAATTTACGTAGCGAAAAAAATATTTACATAGCGAAAAAAAGGTCCTGTCTACAATGTCAAGTGTTGGTAGTGCTATAAATTTTAAAGTTGAAAAAAAAATAAGTTCGTTTAGTGATGAAGGTGGTGAACAAAATAATGAATCTAAAAAAACACGCAATTTTGAATTTAAACTATTACATTAAATTAACAAAAATTTAAAATGATAAAAATTCTAAATATAAAAAAAAGAAAACCCACAACTTTACTAGACTAACATTAAGTAAACTAAAAAAACATGACACAGTTTTCAATTACAAAATTCGATTCCGTAAAACTCAGATACGCCCGTAGCTAGTTTCAGCAAACTCGTCAGCAGTTCTTGACACTTAAGGCCTTTTATTGTATCTCTGTTAACTAAACAAATATGAATGTATGACAATGTTTTTGAAAAATAATTTGCGTACAAATTTTAGTTTTGAGAATTTAATCGGACATTGTCCTTAATAATAAGGATTTGATCGGAAGTTTTGTCCGGCACCGGAAGTATTGATCTAGAATTTTTAAAAAATTAAATTGACCTTTGTATAACTGTTCAACGCTTTTGAGCCTGTCTATGCTATAACAATATAAATAATACCTTTACAAGATAGAATAATTAATAATAAAATTTATATCAAAAACTTATTAGAGAAATTTTTACTTTATAAAAGTTAATAAAACAACTTATTAACTTAATAAAAAAAACTTACAATAAATAGAACTACCAGATCCTTTTGCATTGACTGAATCTTTTTGAACCTGGAGAACTTTTTTGTTTTTGCTCGAAAACAGCTGAACCAATCTGTTTGATGAAACGACCATTTTTTTATCTTTCCAAGTGATTCCAAGCAATTCAGGCTGATTATTTAGCATGGCAAAAAGCTACATAAAACATTTAAAATATATTAAATTTTATTTCTCATTAAACGATAACAACTCTATGAGGTCAATGTGATATTTGCAATATTACATGAAAAAAATCATAAAGTGAAAATCATGAAGTATATGCCTAATTAAAACCTAATTAATTAAAACCTAATTAAAGCCTAATTAAAACCTAATTAAAAGTATATGCCTAATTAAAACCTTAGCCGATAAGCACTTCAAAATTAAAGTTGTAAAAAAATAAATTAACATTGTAAATAAATATATATAAGGCTAAATCATGATTAAAGTAAATATAATTTAAAAAAAAAAATTTAATGAAGAAGATTATTTTTAAAATATGTATTTACATTAAAAAAAACATAAATTTAAAATATTTTTAGCTAAAAAGCGTCTAGAATTGGATTAGATCAGATATAGACCGTTAAATACACAAAAAATTTTTTTTTTATTTCAGTGTTTGTTTTGCAATTATTGCGGTTTTTTGCAATAGGTTTCTGCTAATACATCACCGATACAGGAAATCCTACTATAATCGAATTAAAGAATTAATCGCAGCATTTTATATCTTAGTTGCCTTGTAGCTTAAGATTTCAAAGTGCCCAATGTTTGCCTGGTATTTAACACAGAAAACTTGAAAAGAAAAAATAAATTAAAATCAATTTTAAAAGCAAAAAAAATATTTTTACAGTTTGAAAACAATTTTTTTCTCAAAAAAACCGTTTAAAGATTTGGATGAATAATTTACAATAAAAATTAGCATAAACACCGAAATAAATTAGAAAATCGCCCCATCGCATTAAATATCAGCATCAAAAACTTTTTAAACGTAAATGTTGCTCAACAAATAATTATAAATAAATGAATCTCTTTTTTCAATTTATAATAATTAAAAGAAATAAAAATCAAAGGAATAACCGCCACACATCGCTTAAAAAATATAACATTTAAAGCATCAAAATTTACCTCTGCGCTCCAGTACTGTTTAATACTTTGGCTGAAATCAGCAGTGCCATATCTAAGATAAATATAATTTAAATTTAGATTTACTCAATATAAAACTTCGTGTAACACAGTATTTTTTTGGAAACTAAAATAAAAAACACATACACGCGTGTGCACGAACATACATGCGCACAAAAATAATGTGTGTGCATAAAATATACTAAACTAAAAAATCAATACTATAGAATAAAAACTTACATTTTTTGGATACTAATGATGCTGATAAAAATTTTCATAATTATATTCATTTCTTTAAAAAAAAAAAGTTTTTGGCTGTATTTTATCAGAGTTTCAATTTGAGGATAGAGTATGGAACCTTTATTTAATCTCACTTCAATGTACGCATAAGTGTCAAATACTTGACAGCAAACACCCGTTATAGCCTTTCATCAAAAATATTTGTATGAAAATTGTTCTCAGGTTTAAATATCCGTTGAAGATTAAAATGAATTTTCGTTGTCGAAATGTCGATGTTTATTCTTCGTTTATATATAATGACAGTTACCGACAATAATAGACGGAGCCTTGTTTTTTTATTGGGAAAACTCAAAATGTGCAAATGTACTTCTATTTATTCTATTTTAAATAATTATAATAATAAATAATTTATAAACATAGTTAATTTACATATATATATATATATATATATATATATATATATATATATATATATATATATATATATATATATATATATATATATATATATATATATATATATATATATATATATATATATATATATATATATATATATATATATATATATATATATATATATATATATATATATATATATATATATATATATATATATATATATATATATATATATGTATATATATATATATATACATATATATACATACATATATATATATATATATATATATATATATATATATATATATATATATATATATATATATATATATATATATATATATATATATATATATATATATATATATATATATATATATGTATATATATATAGCATTTTAAAACTAGGTAAACCTTTTTTACAATATTTACTATTTTTAAATCTTAGTCAATCAACGTTATTTACAAGCCTAAAATAAATGCTTCAGGTTTCAAAGCAATGTTTATTACTTCCGTTTCCCACAACTTTAATCCTCTTGAAAAAAAGCTCACAGTTTTTATGCGTGTAAAGCTTTACTCCAACCTACATTTTAAGTTGATTTCAAATTTTATTAATTTATCTAAATACTTTTAGGTTTTCTGTAAAGGTATATATATATATATATATATATATATATATATATATATATATATATATATATATATATATATATATATATATATATATATATATTTTAAGTATTTTTTGCTTTGTTTCAGTCATAAACAGTTTTTATACACTCTACCATTTAAACAGGCTAATTAAGAAGCGGATAGAGGACTTTATATTGATCATATCCGAAAGACTTTTAGATTCAAAATTAAGTCAAAATTTGTGTCTAAACTGGTATCAAATTTTTTTTTTTTTTTTTTTTTTTTTTTTTAATGGTTATTGAAGAAACTATATAAATTATTATCTTATCTGAAGTATTTTTAGAAACAACATTTGAATTTTTGTTTCACCAATGTTTCATGTTTTATTGCTTATAGACTAAGCTATTTTAACAGCTTTTAAGAAAATAATTTTTAAAGAAGTTTTTTTAGCCAAAATATATATTTGGATTGCTTAAATTTTAATAAAAACAATATAATTTGTAAAACCAGAATTTTTTTTTTTTAAAACATCGCTTAACAACTTCAGTTCTTGTGAGATCTAGATTCACAACTTTTTAGCTTTTGAGACCTAGGCTGATATGATTTTGTGTAAATTTTTTTTACTGATACCTAACACAAATTTTAAGAGAACAAAAGAAAGAAAAGAGAAAATTAAAAAAAAAAAAAAACAGAAAAAAAAACTATATTAAATGATGAAGAAAGAGAAAAGAAGAAAACGGTCAGAACAAAATATAGACAGGCAACCTTTATTAAAAAACAAAGCTATAGTACTTTTTTCAATAATTTAGGACAAAGCGCTCATCGCTACGTACGCTAAAATATTTTTATACTCTCTATCGTGGCATTATAAAACCATTTCAAGTAGTAAAAGAAAAAAAATGAAAATCAATAAAATCAACAGTAGAAAAAATAATATACGGGCTGATAGAAAAAAAGTTTAATAATATACAGACTTTTAAGTTTTATGTTTTTATCATTTTAGATTTAGTAAAATTGGTTTTATTCAATTCCATTATCTTACGCAATCACTTTGGAATAGCTTTAGACCCACATGTTTGCTTGAGTTGTTCCTATAATGTTAATTGTGCGCTGTTTTGTTCATTGTAAAAAGGTAAGCCGCTATGACCTTGTTAGATTTTAACTGCAGCTTTGGCCTAGCGCTTAGTGCACTGTTTTTAAAATAAAAAAGATTTGTTATTAAATGTTTTTCCAAGGTGCTCAGTGACAAACCTTTAGGTCTTCTTGTAGCACCAAAACGAATAAGGGTAAAACCTAGAATAAAACAAACTCGTCTATTCTAAAATACATAATTAAAGATTTTCCATAAAATAGTTGCAGATGTTGAGTAAAAATATTTGTTATTATTTTTTTAACAATTACACCCGCTGCAAGAGTATTGTGACTTGCAAGACAAATGCTAATGATAGATAGAACGAAAATGCTTAATCAAATTTGCTGAATTAGAATAAAGGACCTACATATGTTTATTTAAGAGAAAAACTAGAACTTAATATATTGTCAAACTTATTAATACCTTTTATCAATATACTATAACACCATCTTTTTTTGTAGTTTTGCAAAAAAAAGTATTATATTAAATGTATATATATATATATATATATATATATATATATATATATATATATATATATATATATATATATATATGTATATATATATATATATCAGAGTTGTTATTTTAAAAAAAGAACTTTTATAAATGGTCTTGTGATTTACGCAAAAAGTATCCAAAAGGGTAAATGTGATTTATTGAATCTTTAATAAATAAACACTTATTTGTACAGTATAAATTGTATTTGAGAGTTATTCAAAGTTATCATTTAGCAGTACATTCTACGTAAAATCTTTTGTTTATCTTTTGTTTTACCCGAATCTATTTCACACGGAAGAAAAGAAAATACGGAAGTAAACCACTTGAAAACTGTTATTTATGCTTTATGGATTTCTTTTCCAAAGAATTTTATTTGTAGCAAATATTGTCGTAATGACACATAAAAATTATTTCTCTCAAGAGAAGAAATAAATTTTTATTTTTATTTCAACTATTCTTCTTATATCTCATTTTTTCTCAATATTTCCTTCATCATGCAATTAATATTATATTAATAGTAATTTGAACGTTAAAGTTTATATTTTTGATAAAAACATTTTATTTATTTTCTAATGTTTTATGCGTAGTATTAAGACTAATATTTTTCCCAGTTACGCAATTCTTTTTATAACAGACGCATTTAATCAGCTGTTTAATCAGCTTAACTTATTTTAATGAGATCGCAAAAAGCTACCGCTCTGTTACGCGATACCTTTTTTACTTTTCTCATCGGTACATCGGTTGAGTGTTTTCTGATCTAACTTTAAAAAAATAATGCAAATAACTTTTTTTTTTAAAGGATTTTTGTGTGCACGTTTTATAAAATAAATCGACTCTATTGAGGAAATTAATACTAGAATAACATCGAAAAAAAAGTTCATCTTTATTACTTATAGCTTTTTAATAATTAAGTTTTTTAATTTATTATTTTCTTTTTTGCACTATGTTTCAAGTCTGCTATTTGATTTTTTTTTAGTAAACGCATTTGTAGAATTGCAGATATTTTTTGCAGAATAAACGCATTTTGCAGAATTGCAGATTTTTTTTTAGTAATTTTGCATTTTGCAGAACTGACATTCTTATACAGTATTGAAATTTTTGCAATTATGGAAACAGTTTTTCAATATTGTTTCAGTAAGAAAAGATGGGCAAGATGATAAAAATTGGGAAAATCCTTAGTTTTTGAAAAACTGTTTGTCATGAAACAATAATATTTTTCAATTCAATTGTAGTGTCGTAACCCAGTAAGCACAAAGACGTTTAAAAGACGTTTTAAAGATGTCTTTAAGGAGGTCTAAAAAGCGCACTTGTAGACGTCTAGATCATAAGGCTAAAAGACGTCCAAATAAAGACGTCTTTATAAAAACGCGTTTTAGACGTATTTTAGACGTTTATTTTAAGATAAATTTAAGTACATGACGTAACATTTTCGCGTAGTATGTGGTATATATTCATTGTGTTAATACGTCATATATTGTTATAATTTTGTTTATACAAAATATGCATAGAAACCAGCAATCTGAATAATATATAGCTATCACCACCAACGGTTGATGCTGCAAAGATGAAAATAATAAATAACAATAACAATTATATATCAAAACAGTATTTAACCATTTATAACTTTTTTTTAGATATTGTAAAATTTTAAATACGTATCGGTAACTATTTTTTGACCGCATACTTGACTTATTATATGGCTTGTGGGTGTATAAAAACTAAAAATACTGATATTTATTTTATATATTATTCTTGCCATTTTCACTTATTATCATGATCAGTCAACTATCTATTAAAAAAGCAAAATAATTATTAATAAAAAAAAGATATATTAATATTATAGCAATTAATTTAGTGATTCCTGTGACAACAATTTTAGCAATTGTGTAAAAAAGTAATTTAATTTAAAGTAATTTACACTTAAAATTTGAACAAATTATTGAAAATAATAAAAACTATGTTTTTACTTTGAATATACGACATCTACTTAACGCGTAATGACAAAGCCGTCAAAAAGAAGTCATAATGACATATTTATAAACAGGTCTCAGAAAAGACGTCTTTTAGCCTTGATCTAGACGTCTTTTAATGCGTCTTTTAGACTATTTATTATGCGTCTTTTAAACGTCTTTTTAAACTTTAAAAAGACGTCATTTTAAAAATGCCTTTATAAAAGACGTCTAGAAGATGTCTTGAAAATTGACGTCTTCTAGACGTCTTTTTATCTTTTAAAAAGACGCTTTTTGAACGTCATTTTAAAAACGCATTCATAAAAGACGTCTAAAAGATGTCTTCAAAACGTCTACAAAAGTGCGTCTTTACCTAGACTAGTTTTAGTCGTCTATAAGTGTCTAAAATGCGTCTTGTGCTTACTGGGAATGGTTCATTACTTGCATGAGTTTTAAGTTAGCAAGTTGCATAAATTTGTCATAAAAATTAAAATGTAAAACTCGTTTTTGTTACATGGTCATGTAATCGGGGCACCAAACTATGTGTTTTCTGTTCCCAACTTTATTAAACTTAAGGTGAGTTTCCACTCATCCCTTTTTTTACGGGAACGGGAAAGGGACGGGAAAAATAATCACATGGGCATGCGTAGAATAACTTTTAATATGTCTGAAGAAAAACTGCGCATGCTCACGTGATTATTTATCCCTTTCCTATCCCGTTCCCGTGAAAAAACGGATGAGTGGAAACTCAC